GACAGAGAGAGAGGAAAGAGGAGAGGGAAGGACGAGTTACGCCTCTGCAGAGTGAAGGAGGCAAATTCTTCTGTGGTCCTCAGACCAGGAGCATCAGCATCACCTAGGAACTTTTAGACATGCAGGTTATAGATCCAACTCCCAGAAATGCTGAGTCAAACTTGGGGGTGGAGGGGCAGTACCTTGTTTTAATAAGCCCTGCAGGTGGTTCTAGTGCAGGCCTGAAACTGAGAACCACTGGCCTAGCAGAAGTTGCTCTCTATGGAAATACAAGGCCCGGGAAGCACTGCCCTGGAAGATCCTGCCACTGTGTCGACCGGTTTCCTCTATTCTGGGAAAACAAATCACCGAGAGAAAAGTTTCAGTTTCTACATTTGGGTTTTACCTTACAGGTGTTCCAGGAAATACCAGTGGAGGCTACTGCTGACCTGTACTCCAACAGGGGAGAAGGCCATGGGTTTGGTGTTTTCTAGCCTTGCCTCTTGCAGGCCTTGATGGGGTTGCACTTGATAGTTTCTGAAGCCTCTAGAATGACCAATAAGGAGAAATCGAAGCTGGAAGCATGTGACTCCTCCCTGCTGAAAACTTTATCTAGCTGTCCATTACACTTTGATTTCAAAATAAATCCCTTGCCAGGGTTTGCACCTTTCCATTTACAGTTCACCCATTCCCTCACACCTCCAGTTACTCTGATCCCCCTTCTGTCCCTCTGAGATGCCAGCCTCACTCCGGCTTCAGGACCTTTGCATCTGCTGCTGGACATTGGCATCCCTGGCTCCTTCCTGTCCTTTAAATCTAAACCCAAATGTCCCTTCTGACCACCCATTTCAAGTGCCCTGCCCACCCCACTGGTCATTATTTATCTCGTTACTGTTACCCTGGTTTATTTTCTTCCCAGCATTTGACGGCATAGAAATACGATCTGGTGTCAGTTTTTTTACTGTCTGTCTTCCCCTCACTGGAATGTGAGAGGGAGATGAGAGATGAGGGACCTTGTCTTGCTAGCCCCAGAACAGTTACTGTTATATTGTTCGTATGAGATTTACATAAATATTTGTTGAATGAATGAATAAATTCATTAGTGACTATATGAACACAGTAAAGGGCTCTAAGAAAGAAGGATCAGAGTAGAGTGACTCAGTCATCAAGAGGCATAGGTCTGCCTTCTTCTTCCCAACGACCGGGGCAGCGGAGGCCAACTGAGTGGGCTGGAATGCTGCACCCTGTTCACTTCTTCTTACCCGTTACCTTAGGGCCAGCCCGCCCCTACACACTTCTTCTTGCTTCCCTCTGTCTACCTCCACTGTCATTGCATTACAGTCATTCGAAGCCAGAAGATTCACACCCTCCTGTTGTCTTTCTCATAAAGGACTGTTAATGGAGTTAGTTTTCAGCAGGGGCACTGCAAACTGTTGTCAAAACTCCAACTTGGCCACCCACATCCACATAATTAATCACACAGGAGACCAGAAAGAGGTGGCATGAGGGCTGGGGCTTGGCTGTGCGGGGGCCCTCTTCCCAGAGTGGAGGGTGGTACATCACACCACCGCTGCCCACCAGGAGCCTACAATCTGGAAATAAGACAACCCCGCTGGAGCCACTACAAAGTAGTGCAAGTCAGGATCTAATTAGCACTGGAGGGGGGAGGGCCTCCACCTTCATGAGGTTGGTAACAAAGGAAAGGAAATTAAATGGGGAGGGTACAAGCTGGAGGTAGAAACAAGATTAAAAACAGTCTCTTCTAGAATTATAAGAAGCTAGCATTTATTGGGTAATACATTAGTTTTCTTGTTATATATAACAAGTTGACACAGACTTAGTAGCTTAAAACAACACACGTTTATTCATTTATACTATTTTTATTGTTTGGGATTCATTGAAGGTACAAAGAATTAGGTTACACCAATTGTGGTTGTTAGGTAAAGTCCCTCTTGTAATTGTGTACTGCCCCCAAGAGGTGTGCCATACACCATGACCCTCCCAACACCCCTCTCCCCAGTCCCTCAGTCCCCTACCCAACCCCTGTGTTAGATCATCTACTGCCTTCATATTCAAATTGAGTACATTGGATTCTTGCTTCTCTATTCTTTTTTTTTTTTTTTTATAGTTTTTGGCCAGGGCTGGGCATGAACCTACTTCCTCCAGCATATGGGGCTGGTGCCCTCCTTCTTTGAACCACAGGTGCTGCCCACTTGCTTTTCCATTCTTGTGTTAATCATTTATACTTTTAAACATATACTTATTCAGTTTTCGTGGATCAGGAGTCCAATAAATAGCTTAGCTGGGTTCATTTCTTGAGATCTTATAGGGCTGCAATTAAGGTGTCAGCCAGGACTCAAGATCTCATCTGGTGGCTTGACTGGGGAAGAATCTACTTCTCCACTTGAACGGCTGCTGCAGCCTTCAGTTCCTTTTGGTTGTAAGATGACAGCTTCTGTTTTTTGCTGGCTGTTGGTCTGAGGCCACCCTTGGCTGCTGAAGATTTCCTGCAGTTCCTTGCCACCTGGACTTCTCAAACTTGGCTACAGACTAGCAAGCAACAAGGAGAATCTACAGAGTAAATTAGCTAGCAAGATGGAGTATTATTATGTCATTACATAATCATGGAGGTGACATCCATTCTATTAGTTAGAAGGAAATTATAGGTTCTTCCCAAATTTAACAGCAAGGAATTTCCAGGGGTGTAAACACCAGGAAGGGTGTGGGATTATGAAAGAGCCACCTCGAGGATGTCTTCCGCAGTTCCTATTATGTGTTAGGATGGTGCCAAATACTTTTGTGTGCATTACTTCAAGTAATCACTAAAACAACCTGTGAAGGCAGGCATCGTTCCTATTGTACAAATGAGAAACCTTAGGCTTTGAGGAATGAGAACTTGCCCCATGTCCTGCTGATGTTAAGATGGAAACCACCACTTCATGGCATCAAGTTAGCATGTGCAAGCTTAGACTGAAGGGTCTGCCTCCTTCCCGCCAGGAGCAAAGGCCTGAGGGAAGCAGAGAAGAGGCAACCTGGAGGAAAAGGGATCTAGCCAGCTCCCCGTGAGGCCTGAGACCAGAAGGAAAGGACGGGTGTGGATCACATTTTAAGAATGAAAGAAACAGAGAGCACTTGTGTCTGATGATCTCTGTTTTCTCAATGAAGCAGAAAATGAGGGCGTCTCCTGAGAGGAGGGTGGAGGTTGGGCTGGTGGGGGAGCAGAGCCAAGCTGGAATCGCAGCTGTGAGGCTGGGGAATGGGAATTCTGCCAGTGTGCATGCAAGGTTGTCAAGCGGAATGAGGCTGCTTCCTTTATGAAGACTGCAGGGATAGGCTTAGTAGTGGGGTGTCCCCACTCCCACTCCCACCCCCAGCACTTTGTGTATTTGCTTTAATCGCCTCACCTGGAAGTGCTGCGATTTACAGCCATGTCCATCTCTCTCAGCAGAGGAAAAGTTCTCACAGGTCACTAACAGTCATCCATGCTGCCCCTCCCTATCCTCAGCACGGTATTTGGTACATGGGAATCCTCCATTAATGGCGTGTCTGACTCCAGACCCTGACATTGACATCACTCCACTATGTTGCTGCTCAGGTGGTTCTAAAAGATTGCTCAGAGATAGGGATTTTTGCTTTTGGTTTGAAAGTAAAAGTTCAAATAGTGCCTAGAGTAGAAACTGTAAGTCCTCCCTCATGGAATAGGGGTTCCAGGTAGAGTTAGGGAGGTCTGTTTCATGCATAAACTGCAAAAAGCAGCTTTGCATTTTGGCTCAGTCTTTTTGATGTCAAGAAATCAAGAGAACCATTTCAAAATATTCCATTTCAATCTTTATCGATTGGTCTGAAAGACTGCCCACAGTATATTGTTGCCTGAAAACTCCAGCCACTGTATGGACACTTACAGCATAATCCCATTTGTGTCAAATTATTGTCAAGTAGATGAAAACCCAACTCAAACCATCTTAGGCAAAAAGTAAAAAGCGTGGGCTCATCTTCAATGAAAAGTGAAGGAGAATACACTGATGACAGGGGACTCTGCCATTTTGGCCTTATTCTCAGGCTCTGTGAGATGGAGATGCCAGGTGGCTGTCAGCAGCCTCCCTAGGCTGCATTCTTCCCCAGGACTCCTGACAAAAATTCTGAGGTCCACCCTGATTGGACCAACTTAGATCACATGCCTGTCGCTGACTCAGTTACTAGGGCCCAAGGACTCTGTCCTCTGATCAAGGCCTTGGCCACTCAACAGGGAGTGGGAGTAGTGTGACCAAGAGCAAGAAGAATGGATGCCAGGTCACCATAAATTTAATTATATCTACTGAAAAATGACTGGGACCGCTCCACGCCTGGGACCTACAGGCAGAAACCCCCTCTGTTGGTTTTCTTGTGTTGTGTGTATGTGTATGTGCACATGCCGTGTGTGTGTGTGTGTGTGTGTGTATAAAATCGGCCCCACCCTCATCCTGACTAGGGAACACCACTGGGGACTCATCCTGGCCGGCTTATTAAGGGTATCTGAGCCTTGCTACAAACCCTGGGTCCTCTGGCCCACCATACTCCAGCTTTCTAACCTCTACTGCTTGGTCCCACCCCTGGGATGAGCCCCTGACCAGGAGCCTTATCATATATCCTGCTGGGGCCTGAAATGGGAGCCTAAATTGAACTCCAGGCCTTCTGGCCCTGGCTGTCTGCCCAGTCCTGCCACCCTCCTCATCAGAACTAGGCCTTGTGTTCCTGTGCCTGACCCTGTGTAGGGTCCTCCAACCTGGATCACCACCTGGGGCCAGGATGCTCCTACCTCCATAGCTGCCAGCTTCTGAAACCCTGGAGACTCCTGCCACCTGCCCAAGCCATGCCCTTTGGACAATGTCACCACTTTTCTCAAAGCCACCCTTCCCCTCCCCTAATCCCCCCAGGATCAATTTCCCCACCCCAATCTCTCCTCCACCAGACCACTCCCTCCCCCCTAAAGCACCAACCACAACTGCTCTTCTACCCCACACACGAGACCAGGGACAGGCAAGACAGTGGAATGGCATTTTATTTTTTTGAAATGCATCCATCAAGCTCTGCACGAGTCACTCTTCCCTCTGCGTTGTTTCCTAGCCAACATCTGGCACTTCTTCCTGGCATTACATTGTCTGCGGTAGATTTGGAGTTCCTCTTGGTACTTAGCTCTCAGAAGAGCTGCTCTCTCTTCATATGGTTGCTTTTCCGCATTGGTTGATAGGGACCACATCTTTCCTGAGGCCTTTGCCACCTGCACCACGGACCAGTTGGGATTCTCCCTCTTCAGCTGGGCATAGTGATCTTTGCAGAAGAGTAGGAAGGATGACGGGGGTCGTCTGGGTGCCTGGGGGTCCTTCTTTCTTCTTTTCTTCCTCTTACCATCGTAATGCATCATTTCTTCCTGGTATCGGGCTTTGTCAAGTTTGGCCAGAGCTTCGTATTTGGCCTTTTCATGCTTTGAGATGGACCTCCATTTCTCCGAGCACTTTCTAGAGAAGTCTTTAAAGCCAACGTAGGTATTTGGCTGCTGCTCCTTGAATTTGTTTCTGTAATTCAGCAAAAAGTGGATGTAAGAAGAGACATTCACCTTAGGCCTTAGCTGGACTCCTTTTCCCATGTTCAGAAGATCATTTTTTGTCTGGAATCAGTAACTTGGACAGCAGAGACTTTTGTCCCCACACTTCAGGAGCAACCTAGGTGCTCTCCTTGCGATGAAGTTTTCTCTCTGGGTGAGCTGCAGTCAGGAGTGGGCCTTTTCAATAGTGGTGGCATTGTCAGGTCAGAGGAGGAAAATTGTGACATCATTTACAAGCTGGCCAATCCCAGCCCACACCTGTGTTCATTTGCATATGGGTACTCTCATTGGTTGATGACTTGAGGGGCAATTTTTGCCTCTCTGGAAAGACAGGGATCCATTCAAAGAAGGCTATGAAACCACTATTTCCCACAGAAATATTTCTTCTTGGCTTCCTGGAGGCTGTGGGTTTTGCTCAGCTTTGGGGGCTTTAAATCCCTTGGGTGTAGCAGCAAGCTGCGGGGTCTACCTTCCTCACTATAAGTTTGTCAGGATGTCTCATCATCCCTTCCAAAGACAGCCTGGAAATAATGAACATGAGGAGGTGGATGGCTCCAGAGCTGTCACAATAAAATGTGAAGCTTTCTGTTTGCCTTGAACAGTGGCAGCTCATGCTGTACAGAGGGTTTAGTACTAACTCTAAAAGTAATCAGGTGTGACAGCTGTGACTCGGTTCCTGTCAGGACAAAGTTGTCTAATTTAAAACCTGAGCACTTGGACGATGAGTCTGAACTCTTCGTGTCTCTGAAGAAATTTGAAAGGAAAGAGGGAGGAGCACCTTGAGACGTTATTAATTACACTTGAGTCCATGAAAACGGGATGGAGTTCTTAGCACAGGAGGTGGCCTTCCCACTCCCATGGGAGAGGTCCCTATTTCTTAGGGCTAGATAGACCACCACGCTACAACCTAATTGGTTTCTGCATTTTTGTAAAAGTCAATTCAAAAAATCTACTGATCTTCCAATTGGAAGGAAAAGAAAAGACAAAGCATTGTTTTTGAGCCTTCGGGCATTGTGTTGTGCTTGATCACAGGGTACCTAATTTAATACTAACTCAGTGGTTGGTGATAGTGCCAGATTCATTAACATAAAAAGTAGCATGTTCAAGGTTAAGCAGCTCCTATCAGGTGGGACTGTGTGGGGTCTGACCACCGATTACCTGACTCAAGCCTGTGCTTCATCCTGCCTGCATAGAACAGTTCCCAGGGGTGAGGGTGAGGTGGTGGTAAAGGTCTAGAGGGTCTAGAGGTCACGGACGTTGAGCCTGGCAAGGAAAGTTGCTTAAGACTAGACTACATTTTGAATTTTTACAAGTCCATTCCCAAGGCTCCAGGACTGACTTCAATGTTTATCTTCTGAAAAAGAGATAGAAATTGACTAGAGCCCCCAATCCTCAATGCTGGCCCTAGCCCAGATGCAAGGTGGCTGGGCTACCTAAGCCATCCTTGTGAACCTATGATCTCTCATAAATTGTTTCAGATTGGCCAGGTAATCCCCAATCGGTGATAAGCTGTAGTTTTGAAGCTGGATTTGGGGGCCTGTAGAATATCAGATGCTAATTAAGGACGTCGGACCTTGTGTGTAGGGGGGCATCTAGTCAATGGAAACAGATTGCTCTAGGGACATTTCTCAGCCTAGGCAGCTTTTTTCACTCTGGTTCTTTCTCCCAAGGGGCTAGAGGTTGGCTTAGCTGTGTGTTGGACTTGAGAGTGGGCTGGGCAACAGAGATGAATACGACACAGCTCCTTCCTGAGATCAAAAGGTGGAACATGAAGAACTTTCAACTCTAAACGTATTGATCAGACTTAACCTTCCACCCCTCTCAGGAAGATTAACCCATCAGAACCCTCTGGAGGTAGCAGATACTGAAACAGAAGACAGCAGAAGGTAAAAGCTATGGCAACCTTTTGGAAAGCCAAACTTCCAGTCTGCGGGGAGGGAGCGGGGGGAATCCCTTGTATAGGGAGCTTAGGGAAGGTGAATAAACATGGCTTTCTACATCAATGCTGTGTGCTGGGTAGCTAAGATGTGCCCTTCCAGATCCTCTTCCAACCTTCTCCAACTGTCTCTTTTCAACCTTCTCTGGCCTGGGAAGCAGACTGATACGCTCCACATCAGTGAGTCTCCTGCCCTCTGGCTTTGATGTTAGTTTCACTACTGGGGACCCCCAACAGATGAGAGATGGAGGAAGGTGAGATCAAGGCGTCCATTCTCCTGGCTCCCTCCTCACCCGGAGCTGGCTCTCCACTCTGACCTAAGGTCTCTGCTTCTTTTAAGGTGTCCTCCCTAATGACTCTCCTTCCAGGCTCAGGAACTGCTCCCTCCCCTAGCCCCTCCTGCCTAGGGTGGTAACAGCTCTGTTTTCACTAGCCTGTGAGTTCTCTACTACTTTCCTATGTACTGTGACTTTCCTGTGCTCTGTCCTCACCTTGTAGACAGTCCCTTTATTAAATGCTCCTAGAATTAGTCTGATTTGAATGGCCATCTCTTTACTGCTGAGACTGCAACCAAAGTACCATGTTCCTAGCCTTCCACCACAGAGGCATCAGTTCAAAGTAGAGGGTAATGAGCTTCTGGAGACTCAAGTGCCCAGCAGAGTTTTCTACACAGGCATTCATGCCTATGAGAGCAGTGGCATGACAGGACCACACGCCTAGGAAGAGATGTCTCATATTCCCTGGATTATGCAATGACCTCTACACAGGACCATTGGTAAATATGTTAGGCTTTGGGAGCTGCAGAGTTTCTGTTGCTAGTACCCAACTCTGCCATTGGAGCTCCCAAAGTATTCATTAGACAATATGTACATGCACAAGTGTGGGTGTGTTCTGATAAAACTTTATTTACAAAAATAAGTGGAGGGTCTTAAATCTGCCAATGCCTGGTCCAGAGATGTGAGTTTAGTTTTTTCAAACATTTTGATTGAAGCCCACAATAAAAAATACATTTTACATCATGACTCATTTACACTCATCCATACTTAATATTTATATAATGCTTGATCTGTGCCAGCCTCTGTTCTCAGCACTTTGTCTATTTCAGTTCATTCAATCCTCATAACAACCACATTGGTGCTGCTATTTTTATCCCCATTGTAAAGATAAAAGTAGCACAGCATGGAGAGGTTACAGAAATAAAAAGTTTTACAAAACCATGCTTACTACATGTGTGACATGCTCTTATTGTCAATTATAGTCACCTTTATTTTGTTATTTAAACTGCAAACAACAGCCTGATCTCATGACCCACACCAGTGGGTTAAAAACCTCGGATTGATCTGCAAAGCACCATCCAGGCAGGCTGGGAGGGCACTTTCACCTAAGAGACTGTAAAATCCTCTTTACTTAGTAGCAATAACATGAAGTGGGGAAAGTGTTGGAGCCGGACAGATATGAGTTCAAATTCTTGCTTTGCCATTTACTAGCTGAGCAACTTTGGGCAGGTATAGCTCATGACAACCGTATCCGCAGAAAGTAGTGAGATGACGATAAAACTATTAGGATTTACCAAATTGAAATCATGGAAGAATAACAACTGGTACCCCTCTCCCCTCAGAGTGGGCCAGACTTAGTGACTCACTTCTAAGACATAGAACATGGAAAGGGTCAAGTAGTATCTTTACAGTGGAGAAAGCTGGCAGATACCACCCCAGCCAAGTGATCAAGGTGAACATCATCAGTAACAGGTCATGTTGATATCACACATGCCCTTTCTATGATGCCGTAATAAGAGCCTCTCACCCCCATGGTATCCTTCCCCCAGTCTAGAGCCTGGGTTTCATCATGAGAAGACATTAAACAAACTCATACGGAGGGATATTCTACAAATACTTGATCAGTACTCATCAATAATGTCAAGGTCTTGAAAAACCAATAAGAGCCTAGGAAACTGACCAAGATTTGGAAGAAACTAAGGAGACAGAACAACTAAATGGCATGAGAGATGCTGGATCGGACCCATCTTGGGACAGAAAAAAAAAGGCACTAGTCAAAAACCAGGGGAATCTGAATAAAGTTATTATTTAGTTAGTACCAATGCCGATTTCTTAGTTTTGATGCGTGTACTATGGTTATGTAAGATGTTAACACTGGGGAGGGGAGGGGAAGGGAGAGACATTTCTGTACTATCACTGTAACTCTTATTCTTACTTGAAAATAAAAAAGTTTTTAAAATTTCTCCCCAGCTGGCAGCAATGTGCATCAGGGTTGAGACACCTGGCTCTTGATCTGTTACCTCTAGGACTCACAGGGCCTGATTTTCACCCTTAATCTCAGCAGCATATGCTCTTGGCATCTCTCTGTCAAAGTATTTCTCAGGTTTGGGGGCATGTTGGAATCACCTAAGCCTTGAAAAATCCCAGTGCTCACAAAAACAGCAATACCTGGCACAGGCATTTA